CCACCATATAGGAAAACTCTATGTTGACTCCCTAATAGGGAACTCCCCATCCCAAAGAAGGCCATTGGATAACAATCTGCAAATGCAGTGAAGAAGTACAGTAGCTGTGCGTCACCTCCTTTATCTCAATGATGTAGGCTCAAACAAGGATATGCACATGTGTTCAGTCAAATTTCTTTCTCATCTTTTTCCAACAAGTGTTCCAGGGGTATTTCATGTCCCAAAGGGTCTCCATGAACCAAGTCACCAAGTGGAAGAGGCCTCCAGAAAGAGATAGCTTGGGGGGACAATACGCACCCAGTTTGCCTCCCATTACCAGTTATTCATCAGCTGTTTCACAGAACTGCCTGCCAGAACACTGGAAATTTTCCCTTTGGAAACCAGTTTGATTCATTAGGCATCTGGGATGGACCATCTGAATACGGCCCTGCAGAAATCATGAGTGGCTAACAATTGCAACTTGGTCAAGGCATGATCTGACCATGGCAATGGAGTAATAGAAATCCCCTTCATCTCCAGATCATCTAACATCTGCTTTGAGACAAAAACAAGGCCCAATAAATGACCACCTATATGTATTGTGCTCAAGATTACTTGAGATAAGTCCATGGTTGCTATGGAGAACATGAATTCCTGAGCCTTATCAGAGTCAGCCCCTAAGGAAGGGAGAAACTTCAGCACCTAAAGTTGGGGGTTCTCTACCACTGTCTCAGAGACCAATTCCAGGAACTGGTGGAGGAATCCTGCCAATCAGTAGAGTGCTAGGTAGACCAATAGGATCCCAAGCTTGACTCAATTAACCTTAATTGTCTTAATGTAATTGTCTTAATTTGGAATTATATATGTGATGAGCCCAAGAAGGGTTGATGGGTTGACCACACTATCAATCAGCTTTATTTTACTTTCATAATGTAATCACATAGCCAATTTTGATATATCCCTATGACATCAGCATATTCATTTTATGGTTTTTTATTGATTAGGATCAATGTGACAAGAAATGGCAAGCAGGACACAGATAATGCTCAGGAGTAGGATATTGGAATGTTTTGTATCATCTAAAGCTACTTTGCCCCAGATTAAAAGAACAGATATTTGGTACAGTTCTAATCAAATCATTAAAAATAATCTATTCAGACAAGAATTTAGACAGAAATCATACCTGTCCATATAAACTGATACGTTAACAAGGCACCTTTCTCAAATTTCCATATTGCAATAATACAGGATTAAAAATAACCACCCTATATGCCAACAGTCAAAAAATAGCAAGCAAAACTAATTGTATAGTAATTAAAATTGAAGCATGATTATATGAAACCAAAACTAGTGTAGATTACTGATCCTAAATTTATAAATTCATCATAGCACTGAATATTAAATATTATTCAGTTTTTAATAACCCAGTTGTATCAAACTCCAAAGGCCAATCCATTATATAAACTTTTAAAACAAATAATTATTAGAACTCTAACTGGTACTCTGCACATCCAGCCATTCCAAATGTTTAATATTTTGTTCGGACAGTTTGAATCCTGTGTCTAATTCCTTTCCATATTTATTTTGCCAAGGAACACTTAATTTGTGTTGTACAGTAGATTCCACAGATTGCTCAAAAAGACCTAGTGGTCTTCTTGTAACCCTTGGTAAACTGAAATGTTCTTTAAAACAGAACAGTCCCCAATGGCTGCTTGTACTAAAGTAACATCAGTAAGAGTCAGTTGACTTATTTATTTAGAGAAGTTTGTTCACTATAGACTCTTGGTCTATCTCCTAAGCTTCCATAGAATTCTTGCATTTTCAGAGCAGTCCAGAAAATCACTGAACAAGAACAAACTGAATTTAGATTGATTATTAGATAAATATTTGAAGAATCTGATAAAGATTCATTTTGGAGTCCATCAAACATTTAGTTCAGGACTGAAACTTAGAATACAACAGGTTAATTTGTAGGGCTATCATGCATGGTAGGTAAGGTAGGGCAGAGATCAAGAATAGATGAAAAACTCTGGTAGTATTTGCTATATTTGGAAGTAAACGGCTAGATTTAAAGAAAACAACAACAACAACAATCTAATAAAACATGATTTTTAAAAAATTATAGGGGAAGGAAACACTGACGTTTCTGTTCACAAGCATTAGTATAACATTTGCAAAACCACTTCATACAGATGCAGCAATTTGGTGTCAGGGTGGATAGTATTTGATTTAACAACTGTGAATATGGGAAATAATGTTTTTTACATTTCTAATGCAAAAACAAGCAAACTTGCTGAAATCAAGTAGAACAAAATACATAGATACATATATTCTTTTATCAGCACCCAAGCTGCTTAACTATGAAAAATCAGATTCTTATATTTGGAGAACTATAGGTTGCAGGAACATTCCTAGAAAACGTTATCTCACTTTTCCCACTATCCATCAGTTCAGTCTGTGCAGTACGTGTGCATTTATTCTGAAGTAAGCCTTACTACAACAATTGTAAATTCTGATATACTGTACATCAAATCAGGATTGTAGAGATACCACACTGACTTCTTGGTGACAATCCCTCTAGCAAATTCAGTAGCCGTTGTAGCTGTACTCACACAGGGCTTTTTGCCCCTGGGGCTGGAGGTAACGCTTCACTTTTTTCTCCTGCCCAAATTAACTGAATGGCAACAGCAGGTTGGTACAAGGCAGTTGTCATTTCGTCATATCCAAAATGCTGTGGAATTACATTATGATGGTGGAGTGAGATGGGATTGTCAAAGAAGTAGGTGGGTGGACAGCTGCTACCAGCCACAGATCAGGGCAGTTTTGATGCTGTCTTTCAACTTCTCCTGCCAGTATTTCTCCTGATATGGGATCAATCTATCCTTTTCCACCCATCAACCTTTTCCATGTCCATCAAATCTACTCTCGTCATAGATTTATCAATCAGTCATGGCAATAAAAGACATTAAGTAGGACTTATTTGAAGAGGAAGGAAAGATGGGCTGAGTTCACTGATTTTCCACTGTGAGCTGCCTTTCCGATATCTAGTTCCATGTCCTTCACTTAGACTGAAGTAAGTGTCCAGATATTCTCCTTAAAAGGAGGAGGAAGATCTCTGCACAGTGTTTCCAAAGAAGGCACACATAGAACTACCATTGCTCTTTCCTATCTCTGATATTAAAAGGTCAAAGCTCTGAAATTTGGGGTGAAAGCACTGAGCAGAGGAACAAAATGTCCAGATTGTTTAAAAAAGAAGCCCGGTTGTCAGCCCTGATCTTGACTTATATAGCTCGCCTGCCCCCAAAGTGTCCTTTAGGAATGTGTGAAATTTGGGGAAAATTAGAGCTGCGGATATAGAATGGATTTCATCTGCACAACAAAACTAGGCATGGAGGAAGTTCCATCTCTTTCTTCCTTAGGATTGGGTGATTGACTTCTGGGTTTTCATCTTTTCCTTGCATCAATATATAACATACTTATACTGATGCATTAAGATTGCAAAAATTGGTGGCAGCTTGGAGAAATCAAATGCACAGCAATTATCCCTACCACCCAAACCCAATTACTCTTCTGATATTTGGTTATACTGTTAGTATTTAGTTATAGTGTTACTAATAATGCAACCATATTGATATAAAATCAGCTTTCAGTTTCTTCAAAGTATAAAAGAATCTCTCTCCTGCCAATTCTAATGCTGAACTAAATGAAGTTTTGCATGGAACATCTCCAAGATGGATCTTTGTCTACTTCCTTAGTATTTTCAGTAACTACTGGCCACTGGCTTTACCACATCACTGCATTGCATAACAGAAACCTTCAGTTATAGTCTGAAGCACATTGACTTTTTCTTCTACCAAGCCTGAGCATGTAACTTCTTCCTCCTGACTTTTGGAAACTAGAAGAAATACAGTCAAGTTTTTGCACAGTGTGAACTTTTCCAGTTTAACCCCATTGTGACCATAAACCTTTGATGCTCCCATTTACTAGGGTAGATTATTATATTAGCTATAATTGATGAATGAATAATGCATGCATGAATATGCTAAATTCTTGATCAAAACTCACTCTCCCCACTTTACTTAAAATATTTATCAGAAAACAGACTGACAATCCAAGTACAGGTTAGTTGTACCATTTATGATGGAATGAGAAGCCATCTATGGTAAAGCTTGAGAAAAGACTAAGAAAAAGAAAAGCCATTCCATACTTTCGTCATATAAAATGTCTCTAGTTTATCTTCCTTACTTTAAAATATTTTGATCAAGTCTATGTCTAGATGCTGAAGATACTGTAAAGGACTGGTGAACTACACTTAAAATACAATTACAAACTAAAAATTAAAACAGATTAGACATATTTCTTGGTGGAGAAAAATTCCTCACTTCCAAATGAAATAATAGATTATCAATTCTCTGAGCAGAAAATAAATTCATTTGTCCTAACTGAGCTGCTTCAGCTTATATGTTTAATTGGTTAGTATTCTAGTCAAAAAGTTACTGCTTAATGTTAAAAATAGAAAAAAAAATCAGATCTTATTTTTCCAAACCGGGCATTGTATAAACAAACTGAACATTACACTTGAATATTCAACAAGTTAGTAAATTTATTCAGAAAAGAGTGAAGAAATGATCAAAATTTTAAAACAAAAACTATAGGCATTAATGAAATCTTGGATGTATCGAACTAGCAATCATACCAACGGAAAGGCAACAAATTTGGGTGATCATATGGTTTCCTTCAACAGAAACTTTAAAGACATGATTATGGTTCATATCTTTTTGCAGTGCATCTAAAACACTAAATAACATTACCATTATAGATTTTCTAACCCAGCTTTCCCCATTTGAAAGAGATATTGGATTACAACTCCCTTCACACCAACCAGCATAGCAAGTGGCCCTAAAGACTGGGGCTGAAGGGAGTTGTAATTCAATATGGGGGTGGTGGTTTACGGCTAGGGAAAATTGCTCTTCTTCCCAGTCTACTGAAGTGTGAATGGAGTGAGCAAGAAGAAGACCTACCTTGCCAGATAGCAGCTGCTACCAGAACCAAAAGTGGGCCCATTTGCCCTGGAGTGAAGCTATCCATCCAGCACAAGTCAGGTGTGCTGTGCTAGGAGAACAGTGCCAGTACCTTGGCCCAGGGAATCTTTCTTAGTGGAGAACAAAGGATGAGGCAACAAAGGCTGCTAATCCTCCTTCAGTTGTGTATTCTTCGTGCCTGGTTGCCTGTTGGAGAAGACACTTCTCTTTTTCTGAAAAGACCACAAGTTAGGAAATTTCTAGCTCCAAAAAAAGAACAAGCAAGAATGTGTCATGAAAACTCAATAGAGGGGAGGAGAGAGGAGGTAGAACTGCACGAGGGCCCATTTAAAGAAATCCCTCTTCTTAAAGGCCAGATTCAACTACGTTCCAACTGTTCTGGCTTTGTATTTGCAATCAGAAAAGATAATTTGTGAACAGCACCTCCTTTCCAGGCATTTCCCCAGAGATGCAACAGTGAGGGGTGCATATGTGTATCTGTGCAAATTGTGTCTACTTGCCCTGACCCAACCGCCCAATGTTCAAGAGATCTGAAAGCCCATGACTATGCAGACAACTGAATATAGTTGATGTTTATTGGAGTAATCTGGAATGTTCAGGTGTTTAGGGTATCAGATCACACATCGCATGCATCAGAGCCTATCGTATAATTGGACATGGGTGTAATGCACGTGAGATTTTGGTGGTATGGAGGCTGAGCCCAGAGCTGGCAAGTACAGCTTCAGCTCTGGACTATCCTAGGGCAGAAGGGCAATTTAAAAAGCACACTTGAAACAACATATATGAGAAACAAATAATAGCCCTCTCTTTCTTTATGCTATGGTAAAAGCAGCAAGTTCTACCGCTTCAGTGACCCTCATGAGAGGGAAAAGATGACAACAAAAAGAGATCCATCACTTTTCCATGTTACATTTTTTTTCTTTTTTTCAACTTCCTAAGACAGCGAAAATCAAAGGGAGGAAAGCAGCAGAAGTAGATTATGAAGTGGTGGTTGTAAACTACTGAGAAGCATTCTGATTGTGATAGGATACAAATATAATAAGTAAATACATATATACATACATACACCACCAACTCCCAGTAAATTTCCTATGGTTCTCTCTCCAAAAGAAGCTTAATATTTCAGTGCTGTCTTTGGATGTTCTCACTGGGCAATTCAGGGGCACATGACCTACATTAAAACTACAATTCAGAACTTATTCATTAAACTTGTTTGGCTATTTGGGAACAAACAGCCAATGCCAAATCTGGAGATGCTGTATGAAGGAAAGTCTCACATATGCAGCATAGTCATTCCCCCAGAATCATCCCTCAGCCTTGTATCTTCAGGTACTCCTACTGGGATTACACCGTCTTTCAATGAATATGGGTGAATCTGCCATTCCCTTCCTCCTTGGAATCAGACGAGTTCCTAGGAGTGATTACTTTATTAAAAACACAGAGGTGAATTTGCAGCAGAGTGTGAACTTCATGGTGGCTTGTCTGCTGATGCAAAACATCTTTTGCTGAGATAACCCTAGAGAGGAGACAGCAATTGTCACGTTTATTGACCGCAAAGATATAGGTGTATTTAGGTAGCCAGTCCTGGAAGCAAAATATAGGGAGCTAGGTAAGACGTTTATTTGAAATGAAATGCCACCTGTCTCACATACAGGGCCAGCTAGACACGATTTGCTGAGGGCCCCCAGTACATAGAAGAAAAGGTAGAATTTGGGTGGAAGGTTTTGGTTATAACAGACACAGGGAATTCAGTATGAGGGGGAAAGCTGGGTTTGTACAAAAGCTCCACTTGAACTACAGTGAAACCAGACTTTTGGCACTGAAGAGAAATGAGAGTAGCAGCTTTCAAGTTGGCCACATGAAAAAGCTATCAGGACTGAGAGCATCTGGGGTTGGATGAATTGTATCCAGTGAAGAAAGGTGAAAATAGCCCATATGGGACAGTTGGATAGTAGTATGCAAGAATTATCACTGGAGATGGTAAAAATCTGTACTGTACAAACCACTGCTATGTCATGTATGTGGATAAACTTCTAAACTCAGCCATGTCATCCAAGTAGGGCAAGAGAATTTCCTGCTGCCAGCACACAGAAGAATTCTATGAACTCTGTTTTACTGTTTTCTCCCTTTAGCCTTATGGGTTGGGTGAAACATGGGAAGCTTGGCCTGTACAAAAGCTTTACTTAAACCACAGTGAAACCAGATATTATCACATAATAACATAAGGATTGGGGTAGGTAAGCTTCCTCCAACACGGTGGTGTTGATCCCAGTCAGACCACCACAGTTTTTTTTTTTTTTAAAGTGGCAGGAAGTGATAGCTGTCAAACTAACTTTGTGGTGACCAGGAGCCCATCAAGGATGGTTGCTTCATATTGACTGAGATGTCTCCAACTAACAGCCCAAGAGAATTGGACTGCAACTCTTTTAGCTTTCATGGGTAATGGCGGTTGAGGTCAACCCTATTTTATATGATAAGAATGCGCAGTTTAGCACATCTTATGGGCATCATTTGTGGGAAGGCTGATCTATGATAATATAGCCTGCTGTGCAGGTTTTTGCTGGTGAGAGCAAAGGCTAAGATGGGGAACAAAGGGCATGAAAACATAGCATATTAACACCCTTCACCTTCCCGGGTGAATTTTTCAGCATTATCAGCAGCTGAAAATGGGAAGTACAGGATGGGAAGCATGTTTACTTACAGTGACCTTGTTTTTATTTATGATATGATCCTTGACCCAATTATGCATATGCTCAGCCAATTTTTCAGTAGTTATGGGGAATCATGACTCAAAGCCAAGCCTCTCTTGGCCCTTCCAAACAGGGGAGAAGTGGAAAAACATCCATTTGAAGAGAGCTCTGTGATAGTTTCAAGAAGGTAAGGGGATTGCGATTTTGTATGCAGCCACTTACCCTGCTAAGAATATACGTATATTCCAATTGTGAGTATCTGTCCTCCTGAATAAGAATGTCAGTGCATAACTCACATACATGTATATCTACATACATATGTACCATCTGAGTTGTGTCGAGATATTAAACCAAAAGTTGATGTGGTTCATGAATGGGTGATTCTGGAAAGAGTGGCTGTTTATTATACAACTCACTCTTTTGTTCCACAGCTTTAGAGTGAAAAATATATGAATTTTCAAGGTTTTGCCCAATTCAATATCTTTATCTGATGAGTATCTGGCACAAAATTGTCTTGATTAGTAGTTTCAAACCTGTGGGGTAGGGTTCATTGCTGGTCCATGAGGATACTACAAGGTAGGTAATCTGCAAGACATGCCATTTGGGAATAGAAATGATTTGTAGTGTTTATAGACATGGTCCTGCCCAGATGTGACAACTTTAGAAAATCTGCATTTGGAAAACCTTAGAACTAGCACCCCACTCAGAGAGGCCAGATTGCTAAGAACCAGGACAAATAATGGGGGGTTGGTGTTCCCAGAGTATCTCATTCCCTGAACAGTATACTTTTTTGGTTAGATTTATATCCCACCATGCATTCAGGAATTCATAGTGGTGTGTGTAGCTCTCTCTTTTCCTGTTCTTCCTTACAACCAATCACCTGTGAGGTAGATTGAGGTGAGAGAATGATTGGCCCAAAGTCACCTAGTGAACTTTCATGGCTGAAGGTGGACTTGAGCCTGGAGCCACGTTGGTATGTTTTGCAGATACCAGTGTGGTCTGTTTGCTTTAACCACTATTCTACAGTGGCTCTTAGTTTTCTCGGTTGAAATATTGTGAGATTTAGGAATTCTTCCTCAAATTTTGTAAGGAATTTTGGCAAAATTTGTCAGATTTTCTGACTTCCCAAGATTTTGTTTCTTTAGAAAAAAAAGTGATTTGATTTTGGGCTCCTACTGACATCACCTAAGACTGTTCATATCTGTCAACCACCCATAATCATTGTGATACCAACTGTGGCATCTGTGGTGAACCTTCAAAGTTTTCAAGTGATGATGTGGTGGCCTGCCTAAAGGAAAAGACCCATTGGTCTAGCTGTGCCTGGGCCATAAGCTTTAATATGACTTACTGTCTTTGATAGCCAATAATATTTGATTTTATTGTTTGTTATTAGGTAGTACACAATGGTATTTAGTACCTCATAGTATTTACAAATGGGATTTGACATGAACTTGTGTTCTCAGTTGCTGAAGAATGAAATGTTGCACATCAAAATAAAAAGGATAAAGAGTCAGGAGCTAGGTCAAGCGGTCTAGTTGCTCTCTCAACAAATCCATACTAGACCAATTCATCTTCTTCTCCCTTCCATATGAAGCAAGGAATGGATAAACATGCCTAAGAGAATGGACCTACATTGTTAAGGATTCCAATGAAAGGGAGCCCAAATTCATGCAGCTGAAAATGCTCAGAATTCCATTTTCCCCTTTTCATTAATTGTGGAATGGAGGGAGTGAATGTGCATTTGAGCATGTTTGTTGGAGGCTTTATGACATCAGACAGCTTATGTCTACATCTAGCAAATTAGTCTGCTGGATTATTGCATGGACAGAATGAGTGAATCTCATGGATCTATTTAATGTTGATTGACTTTTCTACTGCTTCAATCAAAAATCATCTCTGAGCAGTATACTAAGAAAAATAAGAAGAGCCTGGCTAGACCAGAATGTCTTGTTTAGTCCACTGGCCATAGCGCCTAACTCAATAGTTCCAGAATTACTACAGAATAGAGCATAGTGGCAACACCCCATCTGCCATTCTGGGTTGCTGGCATAACAGTCCTAAATTGAAAGCACCTGAAGGCAAAGGTCAGGTCTGATATTTCAAAAGCCATCATCCTTTTATATCAGATTCTGGTGCTGAGGATAACCCACAAACTCTTATGGAGATCTCCATGTCACCAGATCTTCCAGTCATTCTCTTTTGTCCTTAAACTTAGGAACAGAGGATGAGCCATTGCATGCTGAGTGTTACCATCACCCAGCAGCAAATGGCTAAGATAGACAGTGGAGGATCTTTTAGGCCAAAAGCTTTCTAGATGGGGAAAAAATGCCTTATTAGCACTGAGAACTAATTATTAATGCATATGAAGAGCTTAGTCTGTTGTAGTTCAGTGCTGAAGCAGAATATTTTTATGAGTTCACTTTCTGGTTTTCAAGCTCCTACCGTTCAACTGTAAGGCAGTATTTTTACATGTTTAACTGGGTTGTGAGGAG